GGGGGGGGGGGGGCTAGCCAACAAGGCTAGCTGCACAAGCGTGGAGGTGCCAGAGGATACGCAACTGAGTACCACTGGGGACAGAACCTAGAAACGAGGCACACCCTTCATCCTGCAGGTAAGGAAACGGATCTGGGTAAGTAAAGGGCTTTGCCTAACTTTGAGGGCAAAATGGAAAGAGATGGCGTGTTCACCCCCTTCAGGCGGGACCCGCGTTCCACAAGCTGAGGTTGGAGGGTTGGAAACTGTGGGCTCCATGGAAGGCTCGGGCAGCTGGAGAGCTAGTTAAGCCTGCCCTCTGCCCTCTTGCCAAATGTTCTCTCTTATTGCCCTTCTCCCCTCTTTCCCCCCTTTAACAAATATGTGGGTAGGGCGGCCTCCTGGGGCAGTGCCTTGGCCTCTAGGAGGCTGTGGCGCCCCCGCCCCTTTCTTAGCCCTGAGCTCTCAAGCCCAGCGCAGGTGGGTGCGGAGCCCGCTTTATCTCAGTCGATGCTCGTCCTTGGACGGCCTTCACTCCACTCCCTGAAATCCTGTTTTTTCTGGCCCAGAGTCCCCCTCTTTAGGAATCTGTCTTCCTTCTTTCCTCCATGCCACGTGTGGACCGAGTGTTCACTCTGAGCCAGATGGGGATCCAGCTGTGCACAGGTGGTCAGTGCAGGGTCCCCGCGGTGCCCTCCCAGGGTCCACAGTCTAGTCCGGAAGACAGGTTAATAAGCAGCCACCCTGGACTGTGACAGGTGTCTAGTGGGGGGCGGGGGGGTACATCACCCTTCCCTGGAAAACCAGAGACTTCCTGCAAGCAGGGAGACGGAGGGTGCCAAGGGAGCGGAGTCTGTTGCAGGCGGGAGTGGCCATGCTGGGCGCTTGGTGACTACTCCACCGAAAATTGAAGTGATAACAGGAAGTTCATCATCCCTTTGAGCCCCATTTCTCATTTCTGAATAATAGTGTGTCTTATTAAATTTTTATTTAAGTATATATTAAACAATTAAAGATGGACATTTTATATGGCACAACCCACTACTGATCTTCTGAGAATCAAGAACCACCAAAATATCAGAATGGAAAACAACTGGGAATTTCACACTTGGAATGTAGTACAATATTACCGTGATTTATTTTTATTCCTTTATTTATCAATACTATGTCTGTTTCATAAGCCTAGGAACCGAGCGAACATCAACGCATAACTTTAATTAGCACGCAGGTGCACAAGCCCGCACGCGGGAAACACGGGGAGTCTGGAGGAAAACAGGCCTACTAAGTGCCGCCATGAAAAGTACAGCAGCAAAAAGTATAAATCTTACGGGTAAAGAAGGAGATGACCCACAAATGCACAGCCTGCGCGAAAAGACAAAAGAGAGCAAGCTGACAGGAGCCACGCCGATGAGGAAGAGTTTGAACTCAGAAAGGGACTGTCCCTTGTACCAGGCAAGACGAGGGAGGGAGCTGAACTTAATAAGAGGGAGCGAGAATGGGGCGAGGGGGGTGTCAAATGGTATTAAATGGTAAAAATGCTCTTTAATAGAATACAGGTAAAAAACATGATTTAAGTGAAATACTGTTAAAATTTATGCCATCCTTCCACTTGCTGGAAGGTGAGAGACGGGCCTGACCACACATGGGCAGTGTTCGTCTGACCCCTATTGGACAGACAGGCAAATGGACCTGCTTCGAAGGCACAGGACAGTTCTCAAGCCCTTGTACACAACTTATTTAAAAGTACTTCTTATGTAAAAACACTTCTGTAAAAGTTAAAAAAAAAAAAAAAGCATAGAGCCTGACCGATGCTTTCTCAGTAATACAGTCGTACGCACACGGCGAGAGACCCAAGTTTGTTAGCATCAATTTTGATGAAATGCTATCGCAGGGCCTGGAGTAGTTCATCATAAACGCAAATCAGTTTCGCATAATCTGGCATATGTGTGTTTTTATTTTAATAAAGAAACATTGAAGACAATACATCTTAATGAGAATTACGCCCAGAAGAACTTGTACTAATTCAGCCAAAGAAAAGCGTCGGAAGGAGATGATTTACAAATAAAAATCAACGTCCTTTGGCTCTTTAAAGATCAGTTATTAAAATTAAACCTATTCTTTGTGCATGAAAGATTTTCACATTTGTATGTTTTACTGTGCACATTCACTTTATTTCACTCAGTAATTAGGGTTATACAGAGTACTTCAAATTTTATTTGATAGATTTTGTTCCAAGGATTTACAATAAAAGGGGCTTGTGCCTTCTAATGCTCAGTAGCTGCCTGTGTCCTGAAAGTCTTTTTGCCTCACTTGGTAATATATTAAAATACAAGGCCGCCTGATCCAAAGCCAGGCATAGTATACTGGCATCGGTAACCTAAGAGAATATCATCAACGCGCGAAAAGCAGTATCGGTAATGGACTGTAAAAAAACCCAAAAACCCACGAAGGACTTAATTTGGTCTAGCTGTGCTTGAGGAGGGAGGCTGTGGTGTCCAGGCC